ACTACGTCGCGGGGTTCCTCCTCGTCGGCCTCGCGTGGGGCTTCACTACCCCCTTCATCCGCCGCGCCGCCAAGGACCACCACCCCGCGCCGCACCCGATCCTCGAGAGCGACGCCGTGAAAGCCAGCTGGCTCCGCAGCCGCCTCTACGGCGCCTTCTTCGGCGTCCTCGACCTGCTCCGCAACCCGCGCTACGCCGCCCCGCTGCTGATCAACCTCACCGGCAGCGTGTGGTTCTTCCTGCTCATCGGACAGGCTGGTGGGTGTTGTCTCTTCTTCTCTGGCGTGGGTGATGCCGAAAGAGAGTGAGTTGCTAATGTGGAGGGGGGAAATAGAATTGAGCTTGACCGTTCCCATCGTCAATACCCTAGCCTTCCTCTTCACCGTGATTGGCGAGTGGTGGGTTGAGAAGAAAGTCATCAGTCGAGGTAAGTCGTTTGTTCGTTCCTTCCTGCCCACACCCCAAAGGCAGTTCGTCTCCAGCGCGTGTGGATTGGTTGCGCACAATGCTGAAACAAGTCTTTTTTATCCGCACCACAGATACAATGCTAGGAATGGTCCTCTCCCTTTCCGGGATAGCGTTGTGTGTCCACAGCAAGACCAGATAGAGATAGTGACAGATTTCACCATCCCCAGATATCGTGTTCGCTTGGTGCGCTGGTCCTTGTCTGGTCAAGCGTCGTGCTGTTGGTCTTCAGGCCCCAGAGGGTGTGAGAGAAACAGAGGATGGCCCGCAACTGCGGGACCCCGGCACCCCAGATGCACGTACGCACGTGTCTCTCCTTGAGGATCGTTGCCGCGTGCCTCGTGTCTCGGGCATCTGCGCTGCGGAATGTCGGGCAGGTCTCTGGTGGATTTTGGGGGCCGCGCATCATGCCAAACAATGCCGAGCTTGTATAGATCCAAAAATGAATGTTTGATACTGAAGATTTGGAACCCGAAACGGGGAGCGAAACATCCTCTAAATGTCTTGGTTGTCTTTTTTTGCGCCTGGCAAAATGTGTTTGTCTGAATGTGATTCTCTTCTAAGTATTCTGCCAATTCTTCTCCTGCACGTGTCTCGCCCGCAATGTCTCTGGGGTTCCGCGGTACCGCCCTAGACCCCTTTCGTGCCGCAAGCGCAATACCAGTCGCCTTGTCTTGAAGAGAATGTCTAGTGATATCTTGATGAAATGGAAAAAGAGATGAAATTCTTTTGAGATAGGACCAAGGAAACCCATTATCGCTCTTCTCGTGTATTATGTTTGGTATCCTCCATGCGCCGTTTATACAAAATTAGAAACCCCCGGATGCCAGCTAGAGAGGAAGGCGTCTCATGACCTCATCAAACATTCATCTTCGTCAATTTCGCAACAACACGTGGGGTTTAGTTGACATCCGCGATACGCATGCCTTACGGTCGTCGCGCGCGAAGCCAGCGCTGCACGCTCCGAAGGCTAGGGTCCTCAGCCGTCCAGCGGCCCATCGTGCGGTCCGACATCTGCAGCTCGTTGTATATGGTTTCATCGGTAATCGCAGAGAGCTCCTGTATGAATCCGCCAGTATTAGTCTGGCATTCCGACCTGGGAACTGGCAACAACCGTTCTCCATGATATCAATCTCCCCAGAAACAGTGGACAAGGTGGAAAGCAAACAACATCACGTACAACTCTCAGCTGCTGGTCGCATGCCCTAAGGTGTGACTGGTTCCTGTTGGTCGGTCTGCCGCCTTGAAGGATGCCGTCCCGGTTGTTCACCCACCGCTGCGCAGCAGCCTGGCGGAGGTAGATCTTTTGGCATTCGTGCCGTCTGGCGAACGAGTCGAGGAGGCATCTGTAGAGTCCCAGGGTCAGTACTTGATGCGCGCATGTCGCGATCGATGGGCAACAGCGACTGACTGCTTCAACTCCGCTTTCTCCTGCTCAAGCGGCCCGCCGCTGGCCTGCGGAACACTGGTGTCGGCGGCACAGTTGAGGACGTGCTGCCCGTCAAGGGAGCACTGGCGCAAAGCTGCCCACCCCTCGGTGTAATAGTCCTCCATATTGGGAGGATCTGTAGGCGCCGCAGCGATGTAGTATTGGAGAGTCCGAAAGTCGGAGAGGACCTCGGCGACTCGTATGGTCCGGTACTCGTTGACTAGGAGCAGGTCAGAGACGCAACCATTGAATCGCCCGGCGCAAGGAGGCGGGCCTCCAAACTTCTTTGATGGTGGACTTACACCCGTCCATAGCAGCGAATTGGGCGAGCAATCGTAGAGTTTGGTGATTAAAAGTAGTTTGAGAAGAGTCAAAGTGACCCGGTATAATAGAAGAGTCGTAAGAGAAAGGCGCCGGTGAGGTGAACGAGAGACTGTTGTAGATGAAGTTGCTGCTTGATCCCGTGTCATTGAAGACTGATCAAACGCCACGCCGCTCGGCTTTTGTACATTCTCGACGGCCTCCCACGAAAGACAAACAAGAGACGAAGGGAAGGTAGAGGAAGAATGAATCACGAAAATTACGGATTGGAAGATGAGAGTCAACGAGACCCAAGGCAGGCATGCTCCGTCACGAAACCGCAATCTCAAGCTTTTGCCCGGCCTACCAGGGAATAGGGTAGGGTAGGGTATGATAGCTGGCAGCCCGCAACGGCAGCAGTAGCAGTAGCATTCTTTGCCTATGGGGGGAGTGAAAGTCCCGAACGGCGGAGGAGCCCCATAGGGCATGCATGAGCTCATTCGACATGCTTGACCAATGGTGGTTCATGTCCTTCGTCTGAAGACACCTTGGCCCCCGGTTCGCTGATAGTCCCGGCCGACGAATCGGAGAAAAAAGAAGGGCGGCGACGGGGACCTGGCAGTTGGGATGGCGTTGCGAGCTCAAAGCTAGACTGACCCCAGCCGAGCTGGTGGCGCGCGCGGCCGCCCCTGGTTCCCGGCGCGAGGAGGAGGTAGGTGGGCGGTGGTGGTGGGTGTCGTAGGTAAGAGAGACACACATTTTGCCGTGGGATACTGATTAGGTGGTTGACTGGGGTTGACCGTTCTTCTCTTCGGGAGGCCTGGCGATGATGCAACTCGCGTGCTCGATGCCTGTAGGGCTTCGATGGTCTGGTCTGCTGGCTGTCGCCTGCAGGGCTGTCATATTGATTGATGTGCTGTAGGGGCCAGGGCCACATCAAGCCAAGGGGTTGAGAAGGCCCGGAATGGACCTCAGTCGCTCGACAGATGCCCTTGAGGCTGCGCGGGATGTGAGGACCAAGCCCGAGAACGAGGGTGTGGGTTGTGTGTGAGTCGTTTGTTGAGTAGTCGGGTGCGTGTGGTAAGGCAACGCTCGTTCGCGATGGTGGGCATAGAGCAGAACTGTGAACCATCTCAGAGACACAGAAGACCGACCCAAAGGTGGACTACTGTAAGGTATTTTGCCCTGCTAGCCGTGATGGGTATGGTCCTGGGTGTGGACATTGGACCAGGGACCGGGGGAGAAAAGATGGGATGACGCAGACAGCAGAAGGAGAAGAAGAAGTCTCTGATAGGCAAAGTTCGGCTGGCCGGTCGGTCTGAGGTCGGTCTGGCCCAAGCAGGCAGTCCGCCCCAGGCCAGAGTGCGAGCCCGCGGTGACGGTCCCACGGTATTCTGCGTAGGTCGGTGGTCTCGCAGTGTGAAATGTCCACGTCGTTTTCCCCAGGGCTGGCAGCAGGGATGAAGAATAAGGTAAGGTCGGTGGATCTTCAGCTGACTCCACACCACTCTTGGCGGCCGGATCGGGAAACGGGCTGGAGACAGTGACAGGGCTCTGGCAGGCTCTGGCAGGCTCTTCCACTGCAGGTGCTGTGGCTTCACCGCGCCTGTGGCCAATGAGCACCGTTATCCTCGACGTCTGCCCACGTTTGGCACGTTTTATTCCAGCTGAACGCACCGCCGCTCCATCCGTTAAAAACTGCCACCTGCATTGGACCGAGCGAGCCATGCCTATCTCGCTCGCTCGCTCCCTTGTCCTTACCACTTTCTCTCCATGCACTGTCCAAATCCTCAACGACAACCACCCATTCCCTAGCAATAAGTAGCCGCAAGACGCCGGCTGCATGGGCTCTGTCCCGTTGCGTCCTAGCAGAAGGCAGACTCGAGAATTTCTCCCGGTGGGGATTCGATTGCTGTGAAGCAGACTGGACGGAGCGTCTCGAAGGGCTGATCCATCCAGCTCATGTCTTGGACGCCATTCCCGTGCTTCATTCGCTCCCACACCCGTGGGCTCGTGTTTGAAGTGCAATGCACAAACCTAACACCGCGATGGTCAAACCCTAGTCCCCAACAGTGGGGGCCGACAGCGAGGAAAGGGACCTTAGCTGTTCGCAGTAAGGCCGCCCTCAAATGTTCGCGTGTCAGGACTCGCCGTGAGAGCCGTGTCAGTTCAGCCTTCTTGTGGCCGCGGTGGCTTGAACTCCACATGCCCGCTGCCCGTTGCTTGCTTTTCTTGCTCCAAGATACCACGACCGTAATGCCAGTCGTCGCCCTGTGGAAAGCCGTCTCACCAGTCGTCTTACTTACTCGGCGAAACTCTGCGCCCGTGATCCGGGGGGCTCCCAAAAGATGCCTACCGATGTGAATGCCTTCAACCCACGGAAACAGCCCCGTGTCTGCTGTCTCGAATCTCCCTAACATTCGGCATCCGAGACACCAACCGTCAACTCATCTCTCTGCTGCCTTCTGTCAAGCCACAGACGTGCTTCTTCTCATACCTGCCGTCCCTCAGCATTCAGCCAGGCCGCATAGGGCTACTCGGCCGGACAATGCTTGAATCTCATTGGATTGATCATGGCAACGTCTTTTGCATGTCTTGATCTATATCAAATTGTAGGCTGGCTAGTAGTACAATCGTGTGCGGGGGGTCTGGCTTCGTGAGACTACCAGCTCGACTCTCGTCTACACATCCCGCGGCGGCCAGGCGCGATCTGGTCTGTTGGCGGAATCGACGTCGCCAGCGGACTTCTTCATCGGACGCACCGACCCTATCCAGCTTCCACTAGCCGGGTCTCGTCTCTTCCACCTTAGTCCTTCTCCGCGATCGCTTGTAACCGCTCATCGATCTCGTCCTCGGTCAGCGTACGGAAACCGGGGTCGGTCCCCTCCTGGCCGTCTGCACGGGGGCCTCCCACAATACCGATCTCGATCTCGCCCTTCTTGAAGTCCATGCTGAGGACGGTGCTGAGCGTCGTAATGGCAAGCTCAGTAACCTCCCTCCAGTCGCCGGGGGCGTGGTCCTTGTTGCGCAGCTTCTTCTCAAGGTGGTTGAGGGCCTCCTGCTGCTTGGGCCCGGCGGCGGTGCCCTTGTAGCCAATGTAGTATCCGGCAGGATCGCACTTGAACAGCTGAGGTCCAAACTCCGAGTCCAATGAGATCAGTGTCGTCGCAACGCCGTACGGGCGCATGTAGGCCTTTATCACTTGTCAGTTCCACACTCCTGCCATTTACTTTTCAGCCGTGCTTACTCTTTGTGTGTAGACCTGGCTGATGTTGGCCAGTCTCTTGGCCAGAGCATCGGCGGGCATCTCGTAGCCGTACTTGTAGCGGAACTCGGCCGCCTCACCCTGGGCACGCTGGGAGAAGGCACGGGCATCGGCAATAGAACCGGTCATCACGCAGCCGACGGATGGGGAGATCTGGAAGATGTGGGAGACGGAGGCGGGGTCGATGAGCTTATCCTGTTCATTGGGTCAGTCCCTCGCCCGACAGCTGCACCCCCGCTAGCGGTCTCAACATACAGGAACCTTCTTCTGGGAGAGGACAACGGCGCAGTCCTTGCCCCTAACACCTATCGACATGATGTTCGCAGCTGTGATGGCCTTGAAGGCATATTCTGTTCGCAATCGTCTCGTCAGCTGGGCGATTCGAGGCCGTGGTTGGAGGCCCCGCTCGATGGCATCACCGCAGGGAGGGGCAATCGATCGGGCTGCGGGCGGAGGATGAATACATACCGACTTGGTACAATCTTCCCTGCTCGGAGAAGATTGTGATGTGTCGGTCGTAAGCTGAGCCACCTGGGGTAAGAAGCCTCGTTAGCTGTGATTGACGACCGAAGGGCTGAGGTCACCGGGGTAGCGGTGGCTGTCCCAGTACGCACCCGACATCTTGGCGGTGTTTCTAGGTCAACGTAGGTCGAATTGCGTTCAGTAAGATCGTGCTCGACGGTGGTGAGCTGTGGCAGGTCGGTGGCAGGGTGAAGATGGACGAAATGGCGGTTCGACGTTGGTGGTTGAGCTCTGACGAAGCTCTTGGGATATCGACGCGTTTGCAGGAGCTTGCCTAGAGCAGGCGAGGCAACGTACCGGGAAGCTCCAGTGGGAAGGCTGAGTGGATGCCTTGGATTGGTCCAAGCAACTGTGGGTAAAGCCTGAGGCAACAAGCAGACGACGCAACGCTTACATAAGTAAGAGACCTGGTACGTGCACACTGAAAAGCTGCAGTGCAGGGATACAGCGGGGCACCCCTGGCACTGCGGGAACGACAACGCATCCTGCTGCCAAAAAAATGGCAGGGCAGCCTCCAAAGGAAAAAAAAATATCGAGGGACCATTCCCGACTTTCACCCTCCAGTCTCGAGCACCACACGTCGCGCCCAATCGGACTGCCGCACACGAGGCCATCGCATTCCAATCTAATAGGCCAAGCACACGTGGAGAGCATTGAAGCGGCCCAATTCTGCATTTTCTGTACCCTCCTCAAACCCAGCAGGCGCAACCGCAGACACCAAATTGCGATCCAGCGATCCTCTCTCCCCTCCCTCCCTCGCCTTTCCGGGACGCAGAAAAAAAAACGAAGAGGGTGTGCCCGCTGCTGCCCGTCATGTCCGCAAAAGTACCGGCCTGGAAACGATTGGGCCTCAAGCTCAAGTCCGGCCCAGAGATTGGCGGCCCTGCTGCCGAGGGATCGAAGCCCAACGGTCACCAGCAACACCACGACGCCCGGAACGCCAACGGCGCGGCGGACGCCGCCAGCGCCGCCGCCAAAAGGAAACGTCCCGAGCACTCGTCCGTTCCCCCTGCGTTCAGCTCCCCCCTCAAAAGGACCCGCACCGACGACCATCACCATGCTGCTGCCACTCCCCCGACCCTGAGGAAGCAGAAGTCCGTCACCTTCACCGAAGACACGAAGAACCCCACCGCCGCCGCCGAGTCGACAAAGAAGAAGAACAAGAGCAAGAAGCCGGCCAAGCCCGCGACGCAGCAGCCGCAGGCCGACATCAAGCCCTCCCTCGAGTACCTCCGCGCCTGGAAGCACGCCCGCGCGAACTGGAAGTTCAACAAGAACTACCAGTCCATCCTCATGAAGCGCGTCTTCCACACCGAGGCCATCCCCTCGGCCGACATCGACACCTTCTACGAGTACATCCAGGACCTCAAGGGCTACACGCGAACGCGGCTGCGCGAGACGGCGGACGAGGTCAGGAAGGAGGACGCCGCCCAGGGCAAGGCCGCCTTCCCCGACGGCACGCCGGACGCGGACTCGAAGCAGTCCGAGTACGAGAAGGTCCTGGCCGGGCTGAAGCAGCTCGGCGCCGAGGATGGCGGTAGTAATGGCAAGAGGAAGCGTTTCGACGAGAGCGGCTTCGTGGCGGAGTCGAGCGACGTCGCCATCACGCAGCGTGTGATCAAGCGCATGCGCGCCGAGACGATACTGGAGGAGCTCGCGGAGAGCGAGGACAGCGATGCCATGACCATTGACACGGAGGAGGCGCCGCCAAAGGCTGCTGCTGCTGCTGCTGTTCAGGGAGAGACGGTCGACAAGAGGGTGAAGCTCAACGACGGCACGAAGCAGAGTGCATCTCGCCGTCGTAAGCAGCGCACGGCCAACGTCGACAGCAGCTCTGACGAGTCTTCCGATGACGACTCTGACGACGACTCGAGCAGCGACAGCGACTCGTCGGACGATGACTCTGACGAGTCCGAGGTGCAGCGCCAGGCTGCGCAGCGGGATGCCGAGGAGACCTCCAGCAGCTCGTCGTCCTCGTCCGAGGAGGAAGACGACGACGACAGCAGCGACGATGACAGCTCGGAAGAGGAGGAGGTTACTACTACGAAGAAGAAGTCTGCCGGCAAGAGGTGATAAAGCAGGCAGACGCAAGCCAGATACATGTACAACCTTTGACGTCTTCACACTCGCATGGCTGGGAAACCAGACTAGATGGATCTTTTTGTATTTTTTTGTTCTTGGGGCAGACTGATACCCATGACTCAGGCATATAACTTGGTGAACCCAGCCTCAGGCGGCTGCAGCCAGTTCTTCTCATCATACTTCGTGCCCTCGCCCTCGATGACGTGAAACGTGTAGATAATCCGCCCCTTTTGGCTCAGGTTCTTCTCGCTCTTGTGCAGCAAGTTGCCGTGGATAAGCACCAGGTCGCCAGCCTTCACCTCGCCAGGCACATACGCCCCCTTTCCCTCCTCGCTCTGCGCAGCATACTTATCCCCGGGCGGGAACCGCGGCCCCTGGTTCTCCACCATCTCCGTGCCCTTGTCCCCGGCCTTCCTCACCAACCGGTTCGCCACGGGCGCCCAGCGGTGGCTGCCCGGCAAGAAGCTCAAGCACCCGTTCTCCAGCGTCGCGTCCTCGAGCGCGTACCAGAACCCCACGGCCGACGGCGGGTCCGTGTACAGGAACGTCGAGTCCTGGTGCGGCGGCACGGCACCCCCGATCTCGGGCTGCTTGCAGATGACCATGCTCTGCAGGCAGCGGGGGTCCTTGAAGCCGAGGCTGCGCGCGACGGCGGCCGGCTTCCCCCGGACGGCGGCGGTCGAGGCCGGGTCCGAGACGGCGGCGAAGGGCGGGGAGAGCACGTGCAGGTAGTGGCCGATCTTGTTGATGGCGCGGGCCTTGGGCTTGGCGAGGTTGCCGGCGTCGTCGAAGGCGTCCTCCTCGAAGAAGAAGCGCACCTTGTCGCCCGAGGTGAGGAAGTAGTCGTCGCCGACGTGGTCTGCCTTCTCGCCGGTGGAGAAGCGCGTCATGGGGTGGTCGGCGAGGGAGAAGTTGTCGAGGAGCGAGTGGGTCTCGGTGAGCAGGCCCCGGACGGTTTCCGGGGAGAGGGCGCCCGGGATGATGAGGTAGCCGTCGCGGTTGAAGGAGGCGAGCTGGGAGGGTGTGAGGCCCTCTTCTTGCGCGGAGACGGTCATTGTGGGATGAGTCAACCGGGTTGTTGGTCCGCTGGTTTGTGAGGGAGAGGGAGATGGTCTAAGGCCTTGGGTTGAGCTCCAGGAAGATGTAAAGCTTGAAGGTGTGCGGATGAGATTAAAGAGGCTTGTTGGGAGCTGAAAGGCTCATATAAGTTAGGCCATGGCGCGCCGTTGGATGTTTGACAATTTGGGAGGTGTGAATGCGGGGACCGGCCGGCCCCGCACTTGCCCCCAAGCGCTTATCTCTATCGCCTCACTGTCGTCACTCTTGTCCAGCAGAATACGCGAGCTTGAGCTGCATCGTGGATTCATGCTTCCAAACAAAGATTGAACTTATATATTTCGTATGTAAATTATTCGGCAGCGCATGAACCAGATGCGAGCCACTCATCGCTCTCATCATAGCCGCTGGCCAAAACAAGGAAAGAACAACTCCCCAATTGGCGAAAAGTAGTATGCAAACTCCGTTTCCCTTTATGCCTGCAAGAAATGAAAATTGAGCCTCCAGCATGTTTCGGGCATTCAGCATCCAGATCCTATGGATTACGGCAGCGGGTCGTTGAGGAACTCGTAGCCCTCCTCCGGTGGGAGAACAAATGCGGAAATGCCCAGTCCCAAAGCGCAAAGAACGGAGACGGATGCGCTGACGGTGCAGAGAATCCACGATGTGTCGAGACCCCAGCCAGGGACGCGGAACTGCTCGTCATTGTCGAAGAGGTACGCCTGGTATACTCGTCAGCCTCGTTGCCCCGAGCCATATCATTGCCGAGCTGCCTTAGACTTACCACAATGCCCATCAAAGTGAATTCAATAGCCGCGACAAAAATCAGAAGCCCGCCGAGGATCTTCCAGCCCGTCTCGCGCTTGTACTTGCCTCCGCTCATGATGACGAGGAAGGTGACCAAAGACGCGAGGTGCATGATTGTCGAGAAGGAGGCAAGGAAGCCTACAGAACGCCACATGGAGCAGAAATATCTCTCGCCATCTTTACTACACAACTCGTCGGTCGGGAAGACTTTGCACGCCGGGCCAGGCCCGACGTTGGAGCAGATCTTGTGCAGTCCAATGTGTTTTGAGAACTCGTTGCCGTCGGTAGCGGTGACGGAGTAAGAAACCCAGTGCGGCAATATAATGGACGTAACGATCATCGCCGTCGCTGGCAGGGCAGGACGTTAGCCATCGTAAATCGAAGATGCATGTTGTTGTTGCCGATTGATGTGCTTGAAGCAATCCCCAGGCGCCACCATCGCGCCCAGCTTAGAGCTTCAGAAACGGGCGATGACGACGATGCAAAGGTGGATACCCCGACCGTCGCCCTCCCGTTTTGCCTGCCCTGGGGGCCCGGCGAAAGAAAGATACAGTGTTAGGTACTTACCGGCGACAAAAGCCACGAGGGCGGAGCTGTAAACAGAGACTCGTGTCATTTACGCAGTCGGCAAGGTGTCGTATTTTGGGACAAAATTCGCCTTTCTTCCCTCCTCTCTGCCTGGCAAGATTGGTATGAGGCAGGAAGAAAAAGATGCCAAGTTGGTCCCGTGGGAAAGAAGGAGGCAACTCGATGGGAAACATGCAAGTCTTGGGGGGGGGGGGGGTTGCCTATCAATAGCTGGTGGTGGGCAGACTGGCTGCAGTTATGACGCTACCTGCTTCCCCAAACCGGTAAGCCGCCCAGTCAGTGGTCGAGGCTTGTGGCCGTACGCGTGTGGTGCAGGTGGGTTTGGTAACATGAGAAGGGACGGGGGCTGGATGATGCACCGGGGGCGGGAGGCAGAGGTACAATGCTTTCGTCCCAGAAATGGTGATGCTCACACCAAAACGTGAGGCGTCCGGATGTACCTTGCTCGTCTCTGGCCTCCTGTCGCAGTGTGGCAGGCACAGAGGGAGGCAGGCAACTGCCAGGCAGGGCAGGTAGCTACGACCTTTGCAGCACCAGCCAACCACTCTCGTCCAGCGTAGGTACTC